AACTCCAGTCCCCGTGGACCTAGAGCGTCCAAATTTGGTAGGAGTACCCCAGATAGGATGGGAACGCTTATGGTGGGTGGCAGGATCGGACTCCGCCCACAGGGAGCGGGGTTTGTGTGAAAAACTTGATTTTGGACCCAGAGTGTTCAAATTTGGTAGGAATACAGACGGCAGGATGGGAACGCTTATGGTGGTGGCAGGATCGGACTCCGCCCACAGGGAGCGGGGTGTGAAAAACTTAATTTTGGACATAGAGTGTTCAAATTTAGTAGGAATACAGGCGGCGGGATGGGGACACTTATGTTGGGTGACAGGACCGGACTCCGCCCATAGTGGCCCACTGGGCGGGGTTTGAACGGAAAACGAGCTTAAGAGACTGTCAAAATGGACCTAGAGCTACCAAACTTGGTAGGAATAGAGGAGGCATGATAGGTATACTGATAATAGCAGCACTAAACTCCGCCCTAAAGGGTGGGGCGTGAATAAGTAGTGTTGGTTCGGACCCAGATCGTTGAAACTTGAAGGCACAAGGAGTTGACTGGGAACATTGATGGTTGCTAACACAATAGAATCCGCAATGAAGTCTCTGAATACTTTTTTTTTCTCTGAATAATCGCCTTTGTGATATTATATGATATTCTATTCGGACACAGCGAAGATGGCTTACAGAAAAAATCGCTCCTAATTCGGCGCTAATACTGAGGGTGTAGAGTCTTCAAAGGAAAAGCAGAATCCGAAGTGTTATTCACGCATAGCAAATTTCTCACAGGAAGGAGGAACGCCCGGCGTAGCCGGGCGAATCCATAAGAAGGAGGGAAGCCCGGCGTTAGCCGGGCGGCCCGACTGGTCATTCATATAGTACAATACCACTGATTTCACTTGCTTAAAATCCTATCATCTTTTCCACTTTCTCTTTTTATTGCGTTGCTATCTTAACATTTGTTATGTTTTATGTTTTACGAGCCGAGAATGAAACTTACACCACGACTTCGTTATTGTCTGAACAGCATTATTGATTATTCAAAGGTATAAAGGTCTCAAGTGCGCAGCGCTACTACTGCATCGCTGCAAGCGGCATGTCACTGCATGGTAAAGACTTGAGAACAATAGCTTCGAATTTAAAGAAAGTGGGTTTTCCCATCAATCCCATCTTCTATTATCATCCGCCACTGAAAAGCAACTAAGCCGCTATGCTACTTCCCTCTTGAAGAAAGGAGATGCAGGCTTTACCGATCGCTCCCTCCAGAAGCCCAAAATTCAGAAAGGGTGCATCACTCGTTCTAGATAATTTTACGCAGGTCCTTTTTACGAAAAAACTTTCCTGATCCTGCCAACCACTGAGCGCAAGAGCTTTAAAAATCCATTCGATTGTTGTTTGTAGTTGTTTTTCAACAACCAGTTGGGCTACGACGTGGAAAGTGGGCCACCGATACTTGTCAAGACAGCCACCGATACGTATCAAGACAGTAACCATACGTGTTAAAACAGTGATAGTAAAAAGTACTGAAGTTGTGTCCTAGGTTGGTGATCCTAAGAGCAGTGGGCGTGACAATGGCTCTGCCGGTCTCTTCGATGAATTGACCATACGTCTGGACCTAAGACGTTCACGTCCAGTTCTTGCCTTCCTTGGGATCAATGCCCTGCTCAAAACTGAACTATTTCACCGCCAGATGCTCGAAGTGAAGGTGCATCGATCTCTCTCTGGCCTTCTTGTATGTGGAGCTGTGATAGAGATGATTGCCTCATCAACGATCCTTCATTCTTTGATTATGACGTGGACTTGAGTATGCACATGAGTTTTCTATATTTCAAGGATAAACATCATACTCCTTATCGTGTTTTATAAGAGTAAGGTTCACGTACCTCCACTGCACTGCGCCCGATGCTTACTCTCCGAAGAAGAGTTGGGGTTCGGATCTTCAAAACCTGAGAGAGATTTGATTGCTAATTTGGATCCCATGTTGTTGTGCAGTCCTGGGTAGATGTTCGTGGCGGATCGTTCCAAGACAGCTGCAATACGGAACATGGCCACTCTTGTTGCTTCTCTGCTTGTTGCCTCACCTGGAAAGATACCTGAGGGGTCTATGGTAACCTTGAAGGTGGAAACATATCGGAAGTGATGTCCAGGAGAGGCGCCTGACGACATTCGTCTTTAGACCGCCAGAAAAATCTGAAGGTATGTTATATTTTAGTTGCACTCAAAACGTGAGATGAAGCGTTAGTGGAAGCCGTTCCCTCTGCTCGATATCACTGGTGGACTAATCTCGCCAATGCGCAGCTCTCCTGTAGGGCCAGTTAACTGCTCTCCTTAGTAGCGAGCTGCTCTCCTTAGTAGCGAGCTGCTCTCCTTACTCTTGCCCCCAGAATTCTTTAGCACAGGCTTACGTGCTCTCAGCAGTTTTTTCGGAAGTCTGGATCGGTGATCATTTTTCTGGAATTTACCTCTAATAGCAAGCTGTATAAGAGACATTGCAATGTTATTCATAACACTCTCAGTTTTTTCGCTCTCTTCTGATTCTTTAAAAAATGTGGTTCTGATCAATCTTCCCGAATCAGGAACCTGCTGCAGCAGTAACAACGTCTTTTCTATCAGTTTTTCCTTCTAAGTATTCCACTGTACAAGAGAGTGTGCTTCACATGGAATTCCATTTAACGAAATTCCTTGCCAAGTGCGAGCGGCGTCTTTCCTGGGCTTCGTTGCACAATTTTTTCACTTTCATAACACCATAAGTTAAGAACAAGCGCTCCAATTCTCACTTTGGCTGGTGGTAATGGAAAAGTACCCGGTAAAGATGAGGACAGAGTCGCTCGATAAGTTTTTCCAAGCGCCTTCTCATGTTATTCCCATTTCTGCGCGAACTATCACTAAGATTCTGTTTCACTTGTGAGCGATAGCTTTTATGACAGCTTGATTGACCCATATGCGGTCTGTTCTATGCTAAAAAATCCCCATCCATCCTCTACCACGACCTTATGATGAACTCCCTCATTTACTGACGAAAAATGCCAGTTCTTTTCCGTGAATCCTTCGCTATTATACTTTATCTTTTTTTCTTTTCTGATAAGTAGCTCATTCATGGGCTGTGGCCACGCTCATACAGAAGTCGACTTTTTTCATTCTACTGAGGGATTTCGACCGATTAGTCTTACTACGACTACCATTAAGTTGATTGGATTAATAGTGTATGTCAAGTCAACAGCTTGGCTTTTGAATTTGCGTCTTATTCTTAAGGGACAGACGGTTTCATTTTAGGTTCCACAGCTGAAACCACTTTTATGGATTTTTTAAATGGATTTTATCGATTTTGCAATGATCTGTATGCATGCGAGGCGGTATTCTTTGTCTATTTCAATCTGTGGAAGGCGCTCGAAAATGTTTCTAAGAGAAAAGTACTCGTCAGTTCGGAAAAGGTAGGAACTTGTGGACTTTAAACAGATTGACCTACATCAGCTATAGGTTTATAGCAGTCAGAATTAGTTCAAGTTTTTCAGGAAATACCACTGGGTTTCTCCCCAGCTGACTCGGCTTTGAATTATGATAGTCCGCTCAACCCAGATGAGTGCTTGTCATGCATTTCGGGAGCTCTAACATTGATGGTTATTACATGATATCAATCTTGCTTCCTGAGAGTACACAAAGGGTCTTGGGGTGCTTCCTGATTTAAAGCTCAGGTAACACACGTTGCTCCCATTCGTAATATACAGTGTTGGGATGTGGCAATATTGACTCGCGGGGTAATTGTGTTGCCTCATAATATTGAATACTGTTCACATGTTTGTAGTCGGAGTCATAAAAAATAAGTCGCAAAATCGGATCAATTAAACGAATGTTTACACTCTGATGTGGCACAGAAATACATACGTACAGCTTTTGCCGTAGTCCCTTGCCAAGCTAAGACGTGCGACTCCAATATAGGGTTGGCAAGATTAAATTGCGGCAATGTATCTATTATATTAGACCAGTTGCTCACGCACGCATGCTAACGCGTGCACCTTATATCACTATCGCTTACCTACAATTTATTAAATCCTGAAGTTTACAGCTTACTACTCCGAAANCGGCAATGTATCTATTATATTAGACCAGTTGCTCACGCACGCATGCTAACGCGTGCACCTTATATCACTATCGCTTACCTACAATTTATTAGAGTACCAACAATAGTGTCGGTTGACTTCCCATTTCATAACTGTTTCCTCAACGCGCTCACGTGATATTCACATCCACATCGTGCCTACGTGACTTTCGGAAGGACAGACAGACAGAAAAACAGACAAACGGACGTTTGCCGTTTATATATAGTAAGGATTGCAGATATCTCCGAACACTCGGATGCACATTATAAACGCTATAAGAGTTCTAATTGAACCCTCAAGTGAATACTACCAAACTTCCCCTTG